ACCAGGGCCATAACTTCAAAAGAGAGATCATGCCTGTAAAGCTAAACCACCCCTCATCTTCCTACTAGCAATGCTCCTGGGAAGATGCACAGATGGCCTGAGCATTTACTTGAAATGGTATATGCTTATAATCTGACACCCCACTCAACCACAGGTAATTAGGTAATTACCTTTATTACTTGTTGTTTGTTGTTGATCCCCTTATGCCAGTTTATACTCTGCGAGGACAGAAAAAGACTGGTTAGTGATACTTCAGAAGCGTTTGATATTTTCTCATACCAGAGCAAAAGAACACTTTGAACTGCAGGCCTTATTACCACACAGAGGAAAAAAACATTAGGACTGAAGTTGACGCACTGGTTTATCTAAGAAACAGGCTATTAGGTCATAACAAATTATGGATGCTTAGAAGTCAATTGTGTGGAAAGTTGTAGAGATATTACATAACACTTTCACAGAGGAACCTGTGGAGATGTGGCCCACCAAGATAATGGCATTAGACCTTGTATGAATCCTTCTGTTCTAATCACTCCTCTAATCCAGTCTAGTCTGTATTTAGGATGAGGATTGGATTCAGAGCATGGTGAGGTAGTAGTGGAAAATGTGCCTTAAAAGTGAAAGCCATGTCCAGTCACTGTTACTAGGGTTATGCAGTTTTAACTGAACTGTGTGTACAGGATATTGACCCCACTCAGGGATGGTAAATACTTCAGTTATTGTACTTATATGTTGACGATTTGTACTTCACTTGAGTATTGAAATGTATTACTTTTTTATTACTGTATTACTTTTACTGTAACACTTTATTCCTTACATTTTCATTTAGACCTTCAGATTTCAAAGGCCATGAGATATTTCATTCTCTTGCCAGTCAGTTTCTGTACATACTAATGTATTGTTTTAATTGAAACATCCAACCAAATTCGTTAGTGTAAACTGAAGCTGCCTTGTCCTAACTATGTTAATTTGTCTTTGTGTGATTGCTAGTACTGCAAATTAGTCACTGCATCACACATCACTTCATTATACATAATTAAAATTAGAAAACTTTAAATTCATTTATTAAAACAACACTTTTTCATGGAAATACTTCATTATTAAATTGTACATGCTTTTGTACTTTCAGCCAAATGCATTTAGTTCCATATTACCAGTTTTACAGGAGTAAAAGCGTTGATAAAGTACCAAAACTTTCACAAAAGTAATTTTTTTTCTGTACTTTGTCCACCTCTGCTTATGCCTGACAGTATAGCTTCAGAAAGTGAAAACCTGATACTAAGACTCCTGCAGTAACACAATGGTGAGGACTGTTCGTTGTGCTTGGGTCATGTCAGTTGGAACTTCTGACACTGCAGTATGAGCAGAATTATTTAGGGATTGTTTTTTACTCTTTTATGTAAAGATCATAAAGCGCTGAGCACATGATCACTAAGTGCACATAAATGTAAAATATTGTGAAGTGTTGATTGCTGTTTTTAGACTTACCACTTTGTAAAGTGTTTGTCAATGTAATGTTAGCTGGCTCAGAAGCTGTAATATTAGCATTATTAGCATATGTGCTAATTTGATGTGGTCATTTTTACTAGCAGGTAAAAATAAATGTTTTTGCTCATTTTTACACTCTCAAGAGAAAATGTAAAAATATAATTGCTGCTTCTAGTTCAAAGTGCGTACATTTCTGACACACACTTGAAAACAGTGCATTACATGCTGCCTAAACTTGGGAGACAGCTTAAGAGAATGCATCATCCACACAAGTCAAAACAGAATATTAGCATACAGTTTGGGAAAGAACCATAACTAACATGGCTACACGTCTCTCTCTAACTGTTTTCTCAAAAGCTAATGGAAAAATGTTCAAACTCATGCTCTGAAAGCCTTGTTTGTGGAGGAAAGCTCATATTAGACAAATTCCAGCCTGTGTGTAGATGCAGGGCCAGAACTATGATCAGAATTTTAGTAAGGTCCATTTTGCAGGAATATGACCTACATCTCACAGTGGAAAAAATACTGCCAAATATGAGTGTTACACCAACTGTACGTTTGTTTTAACAAAATCAACAAAACAACAATTTAAAAAAAAAAAAAACTTTTTACCCATCCATCCATCCATCCATCCATACCTTTGATGTACCTTTTCCTTTCAGTTGTTCCTTCCTCATCTCTCCATTCTTCCATGAACTACTTTTACTGTTCCATAAACGGATTTGACTCCTACCCTGTTTATTTCATTAGTAATTTGTCTATTTATTTATATGTTTGTTTGTATTGTATTGTTTTCAGCTTGAAAATACATATATTATTTATGTATATATATAATATGTATATTTATAATACATTAGCCTACACTAAATAGACAGTTTCAAATTCATTCTCTCTCTCTCTCTCTCTCCTCTCTCTCTCTCTCTCTCTGCTTGTCTCTTTTGCATCTCTGCCCACACTGATTACTGAAAAAGCACACATTAAACATAAGTTATAAAAAATTGCTAAGCAGTGATTGGAGGATTAAGAAAATAACATGGAGCTTGGTAGATTTTGTTTAGCCATAATACAGTAACAGCAGGAAGTCAGTGTATTTAATGTTTTACTTTATCAACTTCATTATTTTTATATACACTCATTCTGAAATGCCTGCAACATGTTCCAAAAGTTAGTCCTTTATAATCAAGGATGGGTCAATTCTCACCACTTTGCCAAAAAATGCATCACCACATAGTCCAACTGTTTAAGAACAACCACCTTGCTGAGCTTTGCAACAATTTCACCTTCTATGGTGCATAATATTATCAAAAGATTTAGGAAATCCAGAAAAACCTCTATACATAAAAACCAAGGTACAGCCGAAAAACTGTCCGAAAAACTGATCCATATGTTGTGGTCTGATGAATTAACCCTTCATTGTTAGAAATTGGACATGATTGTATGAATGTTTTCAATTAAATACAGTTCAAATAGAAAATGAACATGAATTATCACACATTACATGCAATTTAATTATTGTGCTTGAGTATTTATTTTTTCTTGTAAGTTTTTTACATCACTATATCTTGATAATTTAAAAAACATTATATGTCTATAACATCAAACAAGAAATATGTTTTGTGAATTTTAGGTACTGTACACTAATTAGCAAGTTGAGAAAGTAAAAAAAAGCCACAGACCACAGATTTAATGAGAAAAAATAAAAGGCTTAATGAAACATTTTTTTTTATATTTTACTCAATTGAATGTAAATATTTTTTTTATGCACTACATATTTTTTCATATTCTGTTTGTATCATGCATAGTACCCTTTGGGTTAAAGTTCATGAACAGCAAACGCATAATTCTAAGATACTTAGACTGTAAAGTATCTTCTGCTCTCTGTCATCTAAGGTTAAGAAATTCAAAGATGTACATGCTTGTACTGTCTGTTTCATTTTAAAGAACATTCAGTAATTCACATTTTGTTGTATGTAAGGTGTAGTTTGTAGTAATTAGACCATTAGTGAGGAGATGGGTCTTACACTAACAGGTATGCTATCAGAGCTTGGCCAATTAGCAGCATGTGTCTGAACAATGTCTAGGGCCCCAGAATTCACCAGGGCCAGCAAGTCTACATGAGGCGCTGCACAACTGTGTTTAATTTCAGTAATGAGCACTCCTCCTTAACAAAGAAGGAAATGGTTAATTGCAGAACTAATAAGTGGTGCATAGTTGTCATCAAGGGAGAAGCACGTTGGCTTACTAGTTTAAACTGAACTGTATGTGAGATGCTGTAAAAAACATGGACAAATGATACAACTGGACACAATTGTCATGCATAACTGAGACCACTAATGAGCTCCAGTGTTCCATCATTCGTCATCATGATGCAAATGTTAGCTAGTAATTAGTAACTAGTGCTTGTGGAACAGTATTATTGATTAATGTTTCCAGCTCTTACACAATAAGTGATATGAATGTACATTCAGTGGCCACTTTGCAAACTACAATAACAATTGTATAATGGCCATTCTTTGTAAGACCAGTTGTTATATGTGACACACTTATTTATTACCTGCCAGCAGTTTTCTATTTGCACATTATGTCAGTTCTCACTGACCTCTTTCATGACCTGTTTTTGACAGGCAGTAGCTGAATGCTTTATGCTCCTATCAAAAGAGCAAACTTGTCCCAAGGTCAGAAATTGAAGCAACCTATGTGACCTAAGCAGAGTACTAACACATTCTACAGTCAGGCAGCTTGAATTCTGAGTACTGCAGAAGTGCTATCACAACTCACTAGTGGTTGTGTAAGGTATTGCAGCCTGCAGGGTACACCTAATGACATAGCCATGTGTCCATGTTGGTCAGATATTGCTAGGGCTAATTTTCTCATTCCTGAGGGACCAAAGGTCCAACTCAGTGTATATGTATATATATTCACATGGTTGTGTTCTAAGCACATTCTGGCAGACAGAGCTCTCCATGCGAATGACCAAGCAAGCCAAGAAGACAGCAAGAGAAAACCTTAGACAGGTACAAACACATCACCATGTAATCAGAAGCTTGTGAAAAGACAATGATTAAAATTTGTCAAAGTTAAAAATATGTGAAAGAATAGGTAAATGTGACTTAATAGTATACATTTTGAATTGAAAATAGTTATTAGCCTATAAATATTCTCAACTTTCTATTCAGTGGTTGTGAACTGATAAAACAGTCAGATATTGTCATAATATACACCAAAATTCTAGCTAACATTGTTTATATTTATTATTTATTCAGTGTAAATTTCAATTTGACTTTAATAAAGTTTGCAGAAGGTTTATGTAAAATCTTAATCCGATGACACATTTATGTTCGGGTGATAGTTTCTAGCGCTGAAAGTGTGAAATATGAAAAAAATCTGATCTCTGTCGATGTTACGTTATTGTTGTGGATTAGGATGATAACATGTTTGTAATATGCTGTGCAATCATTTAAGTGATACCCAAAGTTGTTCCGTATATCTAAAATCAAGTCTACCTTCACAGTGCCATGAAAGAGGAACACCACGGAGCAAACTTCTCACATACCAAGTTCATTTTTGTTGGATTTCCAGAGATCTTCCAATACAGACGTGTGCTTTTCCTGCCATTTTTTTTCAGTTACATCATAGTTCTGGTTGGAAATTCCTTATTGCTGTTTGTGATTAAAAATACGAAGAGTCTTCATAGTCCAATGTATATGCTGGTATCTGTCCTAGCTGTGATAGACATTATTGTACCTACTGCAATTATTCCTGCAGTGCTTCTCAGTTTCCTTTTTGACTTAAATGAAATAACTTTAGCTGGATGTTTGACACAGATGTTTCTCATTCACTTCTTTTCCTCTGTAGAGTCTACCATTCTTTTAGCAATGGCTCTGGATCGCACTGTGGCTATCTGTAATCCACTTCGATACACTGCAATCATGAACTCATCTATGTTTTTGAAACTGCTGCTTTTCACATTGATCAGGAGTGGTACGATTATGTCCACTTTGGTTGGTTTAGCTTCACCTTTGTCTTTTTGTGGGTCCAATGTTATCCATCATTGCTACTGTGACCACATGGCTCTTGTTAGCTTAGCATGCAATTCAACTGCAAAGAACAATGCAATGGGGGTTGCTGTGATCATTTGTTTTGTTGGAATTGATATATCGGTCATTTTCTTCTCTTACGTGAAGATTTTATATGTTGTACTGAGAGCTGCAGCAGGTGAGCATAGTTCGAAAGCCTTCCATACCTGTGGTACTCACTTAATTGTCATGATGTGTTTTTATTTTGTGGGAAGTGTTACTTTCCTCTCACGTAACCTTAGTATTCCAATTCCAGTGGATGTTAACACATTTCTGGGTGTCACATATATAGTTTTTCCTGCATGTGTCAATCCAATTATTTATGGTGTCCGAACCAAAGAGATAAGAAATGCACTGTTAAAAATGTTCAAAACACGTGTAAACAGAGTCACGGTTAAGGTTTCAACAGTGAAATTCTGAAATGCAATGTGCTGCATAGTTACATCAGCTTTAGTTAACAGGCCACACTGTTTGTTCTTCATAGTCATGCATGAAAATAAAAATCAAAATTAGCCTGTATATTGTGCCCTACTAGCTTTAAAACCTTCTGCAAGTCTCTCTTTAATCCACTTCATTTTTTTTATTATGTACAGTTGTGTGCAAAAGTTTGGACACCGCTGGTCAAATTACATATTTTGTTGATTTTGAAGTTAAATTCAAAATATGGCATTTTTCTGCAAGTTTTCATGCAAAATATCTATTTATTTGCAGTTTAACATACTGGAAAATCATCAAAATGTAGTACATTTATGTTATCGTTTTCCAATATGTTAAATTCTGTGTGCATTAAACTGTGAAGTGTTTCTCTGTAGAGAGTGTGGTAACTTATTTTCACTAAGAAAATCAAGGAAACATCATTTGACCAGGGCGCTCAAACTTTTGTATATGGCTGTAGATCTTTTATGAAAAATAATAATGTAATTTTCATAATACCTGATACAGAGGAGGTGTGAATCATCCAATACAGCTATAAGAAACAACTAAAGGTCTTGCTTTTGACTCATTAAAATGTGCTGCATGTAAAAACTGTTATGAGAGATCAGTTTGACAGAATTAATTGAAATCCCTGCAGTGTAGCAGAGATGTGTGGACTGCTCATTAGCAAGCTGAAAATTGTGTGTTTGGAATATCCATTGTACCATGGGAAATTAACCATCTACCACTGGAGCACAGCATACTGAGCCTGTATTCTTCACCAATGACAGTGTGAGTTTCTCATAAAAGAGAGGATTTGAATAGACAAGAACCATGCCACAGGCTTTTTGGGTGGACACAGACTGAGAACATATGAGAATCTGATTTTAAAGGTTGATTTGTTACGTGTCTCGCTGTACACAGTTCATATTTTTTAGATAGCAAACAGTATTTAAATATAACAGTATGTTTTGGAGCATTTTTTTTTTTGTTTGTTTTTTTTGCCTAAGTCTGCATTATCACACAAATGGCAGATACAGTGTAGCAGTAGCCATAGCCTTGAGCTTGAGACCATCAGTTTAGCCCCTATTACTTATAATTCATCAATACATAAGACATGTAAAATAAGTATGGAAAAATGTAATATACGCTATAAAAGAATTGTTCTACAAAAGTACTGTCAGTCATGTGGTTCTTTAACAAACACATTTTTTTTCTCATTCTGACAAATAAGCAAACTATGTGTGAATAGTCTTCTGTGGCAAGTTTTCTAGAAACACAGTAGCGTGAACTCTGCAGCAGTACAAATGTATAAGATTTAGTAAGAGTGTCACTTTTCTACAGCTTAAGATTATACAAATACAACAATGTTTTTGGGAAAACTAGGTCCACATAATAATGTGCTGTGACTAAATGTGAGATTAAAGTGTCTACCACTGAATCCAATCAATTATGAATGGTATCCTGTAATTGCTAAGTGTATTAGTTCCACAAAGGCCTTTTATTTGCACAGTGGAGGCAGAGTAAATGAGCTGTGAGCTCACCTGAGGTCAAACAAGAAGCCAAATGTCTTGAGAGAACATAACACATTTAATCAGTCCAGAGCCAATTAAATCACTTGGCAGTAAAAACAAACAAGTTTAATAAAAATGAATAAACAAGTGTATATTGTAACCATATTATAATAAATTAATAACATGGGTTTCCACTGCTAAGTGTTAGAGTAATTAAAAATGTGAACAGATTGGCATTTAAAAAAAAATCACATCAAAAACAAAACTACATATTCAAAATTGACAAGTGACCACTTATTCTGTAAGTTACAGTTTAGTTACAAAAGTTATGGTGTTGCATCTGTTTTAGCCTATATTGGCTGCAGAAAGAACATTTCTGAACATTATTTTGCTACATATCAAATCGTTGTCTGTAGTTTATTGCCATTAATATTGTAACTAAGCCAGTGCATTGCTCTATGAGTGCACCTTGTCATTACCCAGAACTGACCTCCACCTACAGTAAAGGTAATTCATTTATGTTGGCAAATATAATTTCAGTGAAAGACCAAGAAGAGACCGTATGCAGCAAGATTAAATGAAGCATGAGTCACTTTTCTGCGTTTGCTATTAATGGTTGTAGTAGAGGTACTGGAAATACTGAGCTTTCCTGTTCCTGTGTCAAGTGTATGGAAAAGATATGGAAGAAGAATTGAAACAAGCTGCTCTGCAGAGGCATGACAAAAAAATTCCACAGCTCTGGTGAGAATTGTAACACTTTATGGCACCACATCACACATCAGCAACTAAGGGTCTTCAGTTACCATTGAGAAGAAGCTACCTTGGTATTCCCAGCATGGACAAAATGGCAGAGCCTGCCATAAGACTGAAGGAGACATTGTTGGAGGAAGCAAGGAAAAGAAAAAGAAAGAGTGACCGAACCAGAGTAGATCTTGGACTAGCTTTTACTCGTTGGCGAGAGCTAAAAAAAATAAAAGAATGTCCGACAGTCTCATGGCTAATGAGAAAACAATGAAAATCCGAGTGCAGAGTTTAAGTTACATCCTACCAATGTTTCTAATGAAAGATGTTGGCGGTAACCTTTTGTGTCATCCCTGTCTCATGGAGTTTTGTGTTTTTTTCAGATGCCAAAAATCATCTAGTTCTTAGATAGGCATAGTTCTTTCTCTTCTGCTTTGTGTGCAATTTCAGATGTTTACACATAGAACCTGCACAGAAATCGCGAGTGTTTTCTGTACCGTCTTTACTGAATCTTTATTGATGCTGGAGTTCACAGTCAGTAAAAATGACTGACATGGTGCATTCAGATGGAATAAAATTCAATGAGAAACGCCTGTAAAAATTACATTATCTCTCCTCCTCACGTAAAACTATTCCTGTCCGAAAAGCGTTAAAATTAAACCTGCTTTGTTAGACAGACCTCAGATCAACTACTTATTGGTGTCAAACTACAAGCAAAAACAAATGACATAACATTAACACCACGACAAACAAAACATATCTTTATTTTAGAGCTTTTTCCTCCTAATCTTGTTTCTTTTTCAGTTTTTCAGCTTCATTGTTCTTTTTGTGTTGTGTTAGCATAGTACAATAGCATGGTACAATAATAACCCAGACGTTGTTATGGGGCCTCTTGGCACTAGTGGGGCCCTGAGCAGCTGCTTGTGTCACCTATTAGGTAGCTGAACTGGAATAGTGCTATTAGTGATTCAAAGCATATTCTTGCATAAGAAGGATGACACACCAACAAGTTGACAATTTCTAAACCCATTGTCTGCCATTATCTGCCCCTGCTGATAAAATATAAAATATATATTGTAAATGTTAAGTTTGATTTTTAAAATGAAACAGCTTTAAAATCTGGTTGGGCAAGTCATGTTTAAAGGTGACCACACCCATTAATTGAATTCTGTATTCATTTATGATAATTTAAAATCATCACAGAATAAAGAGAAAAAAAGTGCACTTGTAATTGAGCACTTCTTAAAATTATACAGCATCGATGGAAATGTCTAGATTAATATCAATAATAATCCTCATCATTAAGATATTGTGCTGTTCATGGCAACCATACCCATTATTTATTGAACATAGTGTTTTTTGTTGTACTGTATTTTGTCAGTTTTATAAAAGCAATAATCACTCAAAGCAGCACTTAAACTCTGCATCGTCACACCGAACACCTCTTAAAGCTAACTTCTAGGCCGAGGTAGCTAATTGTTTTAATTACTAATCACACCAAAACAACCCGGTCATCAGCCATATCAGACACACAGGGTCTTAACACATGCTCGACAAATGCAAAATACCACTGACCATGTGTAAGCTGATGCTGTGTTCCAAAAAAGAGTTTACCTGTCCACATAAAAACAGTTTTAAAAAAAGTCCACCCTGGAACATAACAGATTTAATCAGTCCCAAGCCTAAGTCACTTACTAGTATGCTAGTACAAATAAATATAATAAATGACATTAATGAAATTAATTTCCACTGCTATGAAATATTTGTGTAATTAATGTGAGCGAATTGATGTTAATTTTTTTTTTCACATAAAAATCCTACATATTCAACAAACAACTTATCCTGTAAGTTACAGTTTAGTTACAAATGGCATGGTGTTCTATTCATCTATAAAAACCTTCCACCCTGGAAAGCTTTAACACTGTTGCCTAGTACTGCTGGTGCAAGGTGGAGCCAGTGTCATGCTTTGGGAATGCTATATATAATATTAATGCGTGTTTTGAAACATTTAAAAGTGTCATGTATACAGTTATATGCAAACGTTTGGGTGCCCCTTGTCAAATGACATGTTTTGCTGTTTTTCTGTGTGAAAATAAGTTAACAAATTCTCTATAGAGAACACACTTCTGCACATTTTAATGCAAACCTTCTGTTTATTTACTGAATTTCACATTGGGCTGTGGCCTGTGCATAAGTTATGGCTTATTTTATCCTTTTATTTTTTTCCAATATATTAAACACAGCAAATAAATAGAAATTGTGCACTAATGTTTGCAGAAAACAGCCATATTCCCTGTGTTCCCTGCAAAAGATCACTTACAAATTGTTTAGTTACAGTTCTCAGCACAGTATTTAACTGTAGGATTAATATGATTTGAGTTTGTTTTCAAAAAACATGTTGATGTGAGCGGCACATTCATATTTAAAACAGCTGTTCACTTTCATCATGATGAATTTATTTCTGTTTTTCTGACATGAAGCTGAATGACATTTCTCTTTACTGAGTGCATGCTGTTCGCAACATCTGTATGTGACATACAAACATTTTTACATCCAAATTGGAACTCAGCAAGAGCTCCACACATTATAATTACATTCATGTTGTTGCTGCTACATAAATTACATTAACCAGAGAAGTTTCACATGCTCTGAAAATAACCAGACACATTTAAAATGCCATAGAGAATGTGCAAATATAAGGGAAAGGACAGATGCATAGACAGGATCTGCTTTTCTTTCTTTTGTCCATGTTCCCAAAACCAATAAAGCATATGCTGCATTTGAGTGCTCATCAGAAGGTCATACATACCTGATGGTTAACTAGTAAATACATCTAAACACTATTTGGGGGCTTGTTCAAAGATGCACATATAATAAAGCATGCTGGTCTGGAGAATGTGTGTCTTAATTTTTCTTTGCCATATTAAAAAGCGTATATATCCCGTATAAGTGCATCACTTTTTTTTCAGTTTGACTGCCAAGTTTAGCATTTTCTTTGGTGGTAAACTCGCATGTACTCTAGAATCTCAAATACAACTTTGTCGGCTGTTTGAGTGCAATGTACAAGTGAGAAATTTGTTTCCTAATTCACACCACTTGAACGCAGCAATACTCACCATTGTTTTGGTAACTGACTTTCTTATTCATGTGTTTCCAATTTTCTTTAGTCTAACACTCCTGATGCAGCACATGAGGAGCTTGTTAATTAGCTAATGAGCTGAATCAAGTGTGCTAAATGAGGAAAAGCACAACAACGTACATAGTGTGAGGTCCACAGGGCTGTGATTAGGATCTCTTGTTTTAACTGATGCACTCTGTTCAATTTATAATTTTCTCAGATGTAAAATGTTTTGTAATGTAAACAAAAGACATATATACATTATAACTAAATATGTGAAATTAGGACATAAAAAAACAGATGCCATTTGGGACTGACAGACATTGAAAATACAGAATCAAAAGTCTAAGCCAAAACCTCTTGTTCTAAAATGAACGATAAAATAGCAATGCAATAATCAGAGTGAAGGTTTATTCCTGTGTCCTTAATCTCTGTCTACCTGAAAAAAATACTGTCACCTGTTATTAAGACAAATCGTCATGGCAAGTGCAGCTACATTTAATATGGAAGACAGCTGACCAGTCACAAAACCACTCACAAATGAATATTTCAGTGGAGGCCAAACCTTTTAACTTACTGAACTGCCTTGTCTGTGTGTGCTGAAACTGAAAGCCTGACTCTTGAAGATATTCTTGTAGATGTCTCAAGAGTTTCTGCCTGTTCAAAGGTCAATGGGCACTAATTTTATTAATTTTTAGATATTTAATTAGGACAACTCTAATTTCTCTTGTTCGTATCCCATAGATTAGTGGGTTTACACAGGCAGGAATAAGGAGGTACATTAGACTGCTTAGCACACGCACATCACGTGAAATTGTAGTTACTCGATACCCGATAAATGCACTAACAGCACTGAAATAGGCAACTGCTATGGTCATTAAATGAGAGCCACATGTCTGAATGGCCTTTTGGCGAGAGTCTCCTGAAAGAGTCTTAAAAATGACCACGAAGAGAACAGTGTAGGAGGCCACTATAAAGGCACAGTCAGTACTTGGAATACTTAAACCAATGATACCTGCTATATAATTCTTAGAAACATCACCGCAGGCCATGTTAACAACTGATGTGTGTTCACAGAAGCAGTGGTAAATTAGGTTTGATTTACAAAATGGAAGTGGTGCAACCAGACCAACCATTCCGACTACATACACAATATTACGGATTACAAGTATAGAGCAGAAAAGGAGAGATTTGGTCAGGTTTACAAAGTCATGGTAACGCAAAGGGTACATAATAGCAAATAGTCTGTCAACAGTCATCCAAAGTAAAATGCTTGACTGAAAACACCCTGCAAGATGAACAACAAACATCTGAATGAGACATTCATTTTTAGTAATTAGATTCAGGCCAAACACAAAACTAACCAGCATCCTGGGAACAATGAAAACTGGCACAGCGAACCCAAGAGCTGCAATTAGTGCGATCAGAATGTACATGGGAGCATGCAGAGTGCTCTGCTTCCAAATGACCAAGATCAGAAGATAGTTAGCCATTAACGCGTAAACTAAGATGATGAAAAAGGGGATGAAGAGCACAGGCCGGTATGTCTGCAGATCTGTAAATCCAATTAAATGGAATTCAGAATGTGAAAAGTTGTAGGTTGGTCGGTAATCCATTCCTTGAATTGGACTGTGAACCTCATAAACAGTTATTATATAAATGTTAGCATTTCATTATGACCAGTAAACAAAATATGTCTGAAAAACTCAGAAGTAAACAAAATCTGTGGCAAGTTTTCTAGAAGCACAGTAACACAAGCACTGCAGCAGTACAAATGTATAGGATTTAGTAAGACTTACCAACAACTTAAGATCATACTAATACAACAATGCTTTTGAAAAAAATAGGTCCTGTATAATGTGCTTACAGTAATTCAGACCATAATAATATGATGTGACTACTTCGTGATGAAATTAGATGTCTACCACAGAATCCAATCAGTTAAGAATTATATCTATAAACAAGTATTTTCACTACGTCTTTGTTACACAACGATTTATAAGAACGTTCAAAGAAAAGTTGCATATGAAAAGAGCAAATGAAAGTGAATGCAATCCTTAATAAAACTTACTGTAATTGCTAAGTGTATTAGTTCCACAAAGGCCTTTTATTTGCACAGTGGAAGCAGAGTAAATGAGCTGTGAGCTCACCTGAGGTTAAACAAGAAGCCAAATGTCTTGAGAGAACATGACACATTTAATCAGTCCAGAGCCAATTAAATCACTTTCTAGTGAAAACAAATATGTTTAATTAATGACCTGGGTTTCCATTACTATGACATGTTAGTGGAATTAAAATGGAAACAGACTGATGTTCAAAACCTTATGCTGTAAGTTACATCCTAGTTACAGATGTCATGTTGTTCCATCTGTTTTAACTTTAGCCTAAATTGGCTGCAAAAGGAAAATTTCTTAACATTATGTTGTTGTGTATCAAATCATTGTCTGTAGTTTATTGCCATTAATATTGTAACTAAGCCAGTACATTGCTATATGAGTGCCCCTTATCATTACCCAGAACTGACCCCAACCTACAGTAAAGGTAATTTATTTATGATGACAAATATAATTTCAGTGAAAGCTAATCCAGACATTAGACCAAGAAGAGAATGTATGCAGCAAGATTAAATAAGGCATGAGTCACTCACTCCAGCATTTCTGACTACATAATGGTACAGTAATAACCCAGCAGTTGTTTGGGGGCCCTGAGCAGCTGCTTTATTTTGTAGAGCTGGAATGGAATAGTGCTCCTACTGATTTGAAGCATATTCTTCAATTGATTTGAAGTAGTGCTCAGCTTTTAATAGTCATAAATGAATACTGAATTCAGTTGATGTGTGTGGTCATCTTCAAACATGACTTGGCCAATCAGATTTTACAACTGTTTCATTCAAAAATCAAGTTTAATCACATTTACACTACATTTTAGATTTTATCAGCGGGGGAACATGATGGCACATGATGGGTTTTGAAATTTTCAACTAGTTGGTGTGGTATCAGTCTGGTTTCAGGTTTGTTTCCAAAAATAGTTTATAAAAAATGGGATAGCAAATATAAAATAAACAGTCTGTTAAAGCTATAAAGATAAATGTCAAACATTATAAGTGCATGAAGTTATACTATCTATAATAATAAAACCGTAGTATTTACAAAATCGCTAAAGATAAAATATATGATTGCAAAAGTAGGCGAAAAAAGGAGTGAAAGTGATTGGTTGAAACCATTCACTGTGCTTTGTAAGTACACAATGTCTAAGGAGAAAATTAATGGGATTTTTACTTTCAGAACCAGAGCCACTCAAAAAGTGGGCGCACTGTTTAGTTCTATTATGGGGCCTTTAAAAGCAGTTAGGCAACAGTAACTTGCCGATCGTCTCTGCTGTGTGTGATCTGCTGAGTAAAATTTGCAGTATTTTCTGTACAGCTTAAGTCAGCTGGTGGTTAATTGAGTTATGAAAACTCTGCTATAATAATGGAAAATGGCTTGTTTTTATTAATATGTAAAGCAAGTGGGTGTAGCTTTAGAAATGACTTGTAGTTTCTCTAGTAGGGAGCGCCATTAGCATGCAAGTCGCCATAAATCTGCAAAAGAAGTTCATGAGCGCACATTTGTGGTAACATCTATTAAAACTACAGGTGAAGTATTTTTCAAAGAATTATTATTATTAACAGTTATTTATTATTAACAGTTAATGTTTAGAAAAGCATATAAACTAAAACTACAATATAAAGAAGGTCAAAGCAGATATTGTGATTTTTTTTAGATATCACCCAGGCCCATATCAAAAAGTCACTGGAACAGTTATCCTCTGTGCTCAGAACCATTCTGCCCTGCAGTGGAAAAGAGGCCAATCAATCTATATGTCACAAAGAACCGTGAAGAGTCGCGAACAGAATCCATTCTAGAGCTGGACCAAATCCGCCAAACAGATATGAATGTTAAGGCTCATTTATGCTCAACTTTAAATATATGGATACAAATGGAGCCTTCTGTCCATACTGTGTTTATTTTGTCTGTATTTGTGCACATTCTCTGAAAGCTTATGGATACGGACGAAATGGAGCAGTACCACAGGAAGCAGAAGGGGCAGTTTACACAATAGTTTACGATGCCAGTTTCTCTCATTGGTGATATAAGTGAAAAGAATTATCCGTCCACATGTCAAAAAGTATTGAATGGCTTTACAGACCACCACAGTCTACACTGTTGTCTCTTTCATAGCAAGAACATTGCTATGACCTCCTCCACCATCGTCATGTTTTTTGTTGTCAGAAACTTTTTACTCTAGACTGCCCTCTAGAGGGTGTACTGCTTAACATCCATGCAAATGTAAAGGACACATGTGGGCAATGATAGTTACAGCATTTGAAATGAACATGTTCTTTTTCATACGTAAAGGGAGTGTAAATGAGCCGCGTTCACATAAGAAGTGGTAAATTAGGTGTCATTTACAAAATGAAAGTGGTGCAACCAGACCAACTATCCTGACTACATACACAGCATTATGGAAGTATAGAGCAGAAAAGGAGCAAGTTGTCAGGTTTACAAAGTCATGGTAACGCAAAGGGTACGCAATGGCAAAAAGTCAGCCAACAGCCATTCAAAGTAAAATGGTTGACTGAAAAGAACACTTGTAGAGTGCTTTGCTTCCAAATTACCAAGATCAAAAGATAGTTAGCCATTAACACATAAACTAAGATGATGAAAAAGGGGATGAAGAGCACAGGCCGGAGATCTGCAAATCCAGTAAAATGGAATTCAAACTGTGAAAAGTTGTGGGTTGGTTTCTAATCCATTCCTTGAGTTATACTTTGACTGTAAACAGCTGAGCATTTCTCAGAACAGTTTAAGATATTTGAAGTATACTTTCTAAAACTCTCGAACTTCTACATCTGGTAACTGTTAATGATATTTTAATGACATTGCATCATGAAAGCCAATTCTTAATAATATTAAAATAAATGCCCAGTACCAGAAAATAAGAGATATAGCAGCATTCTTTGGGTAGGCTTCTTATTAAGGGGCACATCCACAGTCTTGTCATTTGTTGTTCTTGCTCTGTTTTACCACTTCTGGTTAACACTTTCCTATGGCAAATCACTTTTAAATATACATGAATATCTCTCTAACATCTCTAACACAAAGGTAGGGCTAAGTTGGAGTAGTTCACACATTATTTTGTCCTAGATACTTAGAACAACAGCAACAATAATTAATTAAAGAGCCTGCATGTCAGGGCAGACTGCAAGTCAATCATCCTGTTTTAGTTTGTTAAAAGCTGTTAATATGCATTTCAACGTGCTAACGGTCTATTTACAGAAAACACTTCTCATTGGCCAAATTATGAATGTAATTTATGCAAGTTTGTTCTATATGGATGTTTTTAAAAAAGTATTTATTTTAAAAGGAAGATGTATGCAATATCAAATCTACTAATCCTGATAACGACCCCTAAAACTGAGGCAAGGACAATACATTTGGGAATAAATCAATTATAAATGTTTAATTAAAAACAAGAATTTGCTTGCCTTCTCTGGATGGTCTCACCTGTTTGGTAAATTAACTAATTATGTAATTGAAAAGGAGTGCTCTACCAGCAGGTTAGAGTGGAGATTTATGGACATTTTGGAATTAACAATAAGAAATGAAGTTCTCCTTGTGGAAATAGTTATTTAAAAAATATTATTTGAAAAATAAGAAAGAAACACAGATAATTAAAATGAGATAAAAGACTGGACTGGTTCTAGGCCTGTAAAAAATGCGTGCTATCAGAATGTAAATGGGTTCATCCAGAGTGCTTTGCTTCATAATTAATATCATGAAAAGAGGGATAGTGTTACGCTTCCCTTTGGCTCCCAAGCCGAACTGAACTCCAATTCTCATGATGCCTCTGACTCCCACGTGACTCCTAACCAGAGTCACGTGACTTACTCCAATCCCCCCCACCCCCCCCGTTCCCAAACACCTGAATATTGATTGTTTGTCCCAACCTATTTATACTCTCCCTGTTGTTCAGTTCTCTGCCGAGTTTTGACTAGCCCTCTAGCAGTACAAAGCGTTCCTTGTCTGTATTATTTCTCATGTTTTGAGCTTGTTTATTACTCTGTGTTTTGCCTCTCCCTTTTGTACTCTGTTTTGCCGGTTTTGGATTTGTGCTTGCTTATTCGACTACGTCTCTTGGTATGCCCCTCTACTACTTCTGTTTTTTGCTGTTGCTGACCTGGACTGTTTTTGACTACCCCTTTGTGCCTAAGCCCTTTATTTAAACCTCGCATCCTAATCTGCGAGTGTCTGATTTCTATCCAGTCCTGACAGATAGATGTTAACATATAAACTAAGATGATGAAAAAGGGGATGAAGAGCACAGGCCGGTATGTCTGCAGATGAGTTAATCCAAATAAATGGAATTCAAAATGTGAGAAGTTGTAGGCTGGTTGATAAACCATTGTTCTGGACTTTGAACCTTAAAAAAGTATGTTAGCACTTCACTGTTGTATGTAACACATTTCTCATTGCAGTTTATGATGTTTCAAGCATAAACTCTAAAAATCTAAAAAGTGTACTTCTAAAAAAAAAATATTAAAGCATCCTGAAGTTTGAGAAAGGCACAATATAAA